ATGAAAATTTCAGTTTTCCTATTTCAATGTTCTGATTAATCTTAATTCTTAAGTTAATTATTGAATAAGCTCATGTTAGCACTATGAGAATAAAATATCCATAGAAATTCCTCTATCGCAATTGTTAAAAAATTTGAGCTAATCAACTTTAACAAAATATTCCAATAACAATAATAAATATGAATGCTGGTCATTATTTTAAGAAGTGGGTACAAATGAAAAGATTTGAAATTGGCATTTTTTTCCCTTTCACTGAAACAGTTCCTTTTTATTTTTTCTTTCATTTTTTCACTGAAATCAAGTAGTGTCTTTTCACCTATTTCCATGCAATCAAAATTAAATAGTCTATTATTTATGAGCTATTGGCAGGGCGTAAGGATCGTGCAAACTAATGAAGGGTGAGACAAGCACAAATATTATAGAATTAGAAATATTGACAGGCAGTAATACATGACATGGTAAACAACATAAAAAATGGAATCAATGTGCAGAGTTAAAATTCTTTCTGAGACAGCATGTGTTCACTTTGCAGATAATGCCCTTGGGAAAGGTATGAATCCCTCTTTTCTACCTACATCTATGGGTTAAATAGTAAGGTAGACTAGGTATTCTATCTTTGGTCTAGAAGAAAGAGAACTCTGAATTTAAAACACAACAGGAAATCAATTTATGATTTTTCCCAATATTAATCGTAACAATATGGAGTCAAGAGACATGACTGTCTGCGTTCATGAAGAGACATGACACTTGTTAAGATTTGTGGAGTATGTTAAAAGCCTAAAAAGAAAATAATGAAAACCTCCAAGAATATTAATTCAGTTTATTCTATGTTTAGGATAACTGATGATTCTTAAGCCATGGATGAAATTTCTGTGATTTAGTAAACAAAAATAAAGGAATATGAAAACTGATTAATTGGCAAAATAAAAAAATCACTGGTGATGCTTATATGGCCAACTGTTGATTATCAGTCGATTAATTGGTATAGCATTTATATATGCAAGCAGATGATTTTTCTGTGAATATCAGTGATGAGGAATTAACAATATTATATTTAAATTTATTTGAACTAGTGTCTTTATCTTGGTTATTATTATCATCACATATTTTGACCATTATGCTCTCCAGCCTTCTTCAGGTCGAGCTGGAATTTCAAACCAAACACTTTATTTTATCTATAGAGATATTTGAATACTAACACAAGGCAAGTGTTGTGTGTATTAATATTTTGCAATAAGAAAGAAAGAAAGAAAGAAAGAAAGAAAGAAAGAAAGAAAGAAAGAAAGAAAAGTCTTGAATGAAAAAGAAAAAGAAAGGATAACTAAGGAGAAGAATAAAGAATGGCCTTGGAGAAAAAAAGAGTTAAAGAAAGCCTGGAGAGAAAGAAAGAAACAAAGAACAAAAGAAACAATGGCTTTGAAAGAAAGAAATCAAGGAAGAAATAACACCCCAAAAGGAAAGAAGAAATACAAGCCTTGAAGAAAGAAAGAAAGAAAGAAACAAACAAACAAACAAACAAAGTGGAATGAAAGTAAAAAAAAGAAGTAACAGTTTTAATGAAAAAAGAAAGAAAGAAAGAACAGCTTTGAAGAAAAAAGAAAGAAAGAAGAAAGAAAGAACAGTGTTGAAGAAAAAAGAAAAAAGGAAAGAAAGAAAGAACAGTGTTGAAGAAAAAAGAAAAAAAGAAAAGGAAGAAAGAAAGAAAGAACAGCCTTGAAGAAAAAAGAAAGAAAGAAAAAAGAAGAAAGAAAGAAAGAACAGTGTTGAAGAAAAAAGAAAAAAGGAAAGAAAGAAAGAACAGTGTTGAAGAAAAAAGAAAGGAAGAAAGAAAGAACAGTCTTAAAGAAAAAGAAAGAAAGTAAAAAGGAAGAAAGAAAGAACAGCCTTGAAGAACAAAGAAAGAAAGAAAAAAGGAAGAAAGAGAGAACAGCCTTGAAATAAAAAGACAGAAAGAAAGAAGGAATGAAGAAAAGACTTTGAATAAGGAAGTTAAGAAAAAGATAGCAAAAAAAAAAAAACAGAAAGAGAGAACATATTGGAGAAAAAGAAAAGAATAGTAGAAAACATAGAAAATGAAGAAAGATGGATGGGTGGTTGTCTCCTCACACCACCCACCCTGAAATGTAACTGAGTAAAAGGCTATCTTCTTTTCCGGTATCTAAGTTACTGTCTCTTCTAATACATATGATAATATGAAAGAGAAAATGGAGACAAATCAGGAAGAGAGCTTATAAGCCCTCAGACTTTTTCTGGCCTCATTGAACCATGTCTACCTCCCCATCTTTAAACCTTTTCCATTTGCTAACTCTGAAAAGTCCACTTCTCCACTCCAGTCTACACCACAGCCAGACATCATCAGTAAGCAAGAAGATGAAGAAAGCCCACAGCTGTCTCTGGGGAAGCAAGTCTGGCCAGACCAGGATTCTGTAAAGGCTGATTTAGTTATTATCAGAAAGTCTTCATGAAAGGAACAAGAAACTAAAGGAGAAAAAGTGTTCATTGTCATAGGCATAATAAAAAGCTGGATAGACGAGTCAGTGAGGACTTTTAGCCATTTTTATTTTGTGACCCCTTAACTCTTTTCTTTCTGCTTTTCTTTCTATAACAAATTCAAATGAAGTGTTAAAGTATTTTTGGGCATTGCTCTATTTGTTTGGGAGATTTCTTAGCAATGGCATGGATTAAACAGATAGATAGATTGATAGACCAATAGACAGACAGTAGAATTTTAGCCAGGTTTATAGAACTTGTAATATAATTACTTTTCCTTATCGATACATTTAATTCAGTGTTGAATCACATAGACTGGACACTGAACACTGAAAATGTCAGATCAAAATTTAGCTGATAACTGTGTTGGGCTGCAAACATATTGATCCTTTCTCATTGATTGAACATTATACAGTGAAAGTTTCAGATAAAAATTTGGGTAAATATTGTCCCAGACTACAGACTTACAGCTCAATCCTCAGAGAAAGAAATACACATACGTACACACATACACACACACATACATATGATAGGATAAAGAACAAGTAGGAAACAAATCTTAATCTAACATGTTTCACTTTATTAAAGCTTCGACAGAGATGAAGATAGAAATGATAAAAAAAAATGATAAAAAGAGAGATGTAGATTAATGTGGTATGTTGTGTTTGGCTATTTCTTATTGGTTAGATACATGCCACATGTAATTAAGTAGCAGATAATATTTAAATACGTATATATATATATATATATATATATATATATATATATATATATATATATATATATGTGTGTGTGTGTGAAAATATATAGAAAATAGGAAGGAACTGGTTAGGTAAATAATCCAAAGTCCCTTAGTATTTTAGTTATTATTTTTTTAAAATAGTGCTCGATACAAAAGTAGAGCATAAATATAATTATTTATTTAAAAATATGATTCCAAATCGCTACATAAGAGGTCTCATGTTTCAAAACTAGAGCCGAAAACTTCAATATAATCCTTTAAATTAAATTGAGTTGAAAGTAAAATGGGCTCCGTTCCATCCTCAAGCGAAATTTTTGTTGGAATAACGTATATCTGAAATTTACTTGTTTTAAAATTGAAATCAAAATCCCCATGGTAACAGCTATGGTGAATTGTCTAAATTGGGTAGGCGAGTGTAGGGTGTTTATATTAAGTAGCGGTATAGAGATACTTTCAAGGTGTCAAGTCGGGGAAAAGGTGGGGGTGTCAAAAATGAAACGGAAGATGTATTGGCCATCGTCTAGTTTGCTTGTCTATGGAGATTTATTTATTTATTTTATTTTATTTTATTATGAAAGGGAATTGTGCATATAAAAAAAAAGAAAAACTTTCGTAACGTTTGTTTTTTGATGACTTCATAAAGGGTTATCTTATATGTAAGGTATTTAAACTACTAATTTAGGCTATGGATTATGAAGTGTGTTATGTAGTATGCATGTTTGTAGTTAATTATTCCTACTATGAATCTGATGATTGGGCTATTTGTTAAACAAGTTATATAAATTTTTTATCTAATAATTCAAACCAAAAATCTGATGATGCCTACAAAAAACCGTTAACTCGTGTCTATTATTTAATAGATTATTATTATTTAGGAGTTTAATGATGTGCAATTTTTCATGGAGGCACAAAGGGCATGGGTCATCCCAAGAGCTTGGGATGACCCATTTTGATTTCAATTTTAAAACAAGTAAATTTCAGATATACGTTATTCCAACAAAAATTTCGCTTGAGGGTGGAACGGAGCCCATTTTACTTTCAACTCAATTTAATTTAAAGGATTATATTGAAGTTTTCGGCTCTAGTTTTGAAACATGAGACCTCTTATGTAGCGAATTGGAATCATATTTTAAATAATATATATATATATATATATATATATATATATATATAAATATTTAATGAAAAAAACAGACCACTTTAAGGTACCATTACAATAATTTATTTCACCAAAATCCTTTTTGAAGGACTCCGGATCATCAGGTAACACTTCCAACGACGAAATGAAAGGAAAAATGGGATTAGAAATTGATGGGTAGTGTAATTTTTGTAATTTAACAGGGAGGGTGATCATTGTAGTCAACGAGACAAGGTAGAGTATAGAGAGGGGTAAATTTCATATTTCTCTTAAGCATGTTTTATATTGGGGTAGGAGGAGTGACCTAATCGTGACCTATTTAGATGGTTAAGTTAACGGAAATGATATATAGGAATGGGAGGGTAGTGGGGGAAAAAATATATATATATATATATATATATATATATATATATATATATATATATATATATTGTTGTATTTAGGCAGCAATCCTTCTTTCATGCAAGCTTCATTAAATATGACAGACAAGGTGCTTTGATCAATTTTTTTATATAATTTCTCATATGATCTTATAATTATTTTTTTCTTTTCCATGTATAAATTATACAAAAATTGTCTGAATGTTTTATTTTTCCAAGCACTTTTGGCTATACCTTTAGCCATTCTCAAGGATGAATTATATTTACTGTTAACTAGAAATGAATTGTTTTGTGTATGCATTTAGCATTATAGAATGTTTTATTTTCAAAACACAGTCAACATATTGTGTCCATGTTCATAATTGATATTATAGAGTGTTGTATTTTTTTTGTTTTTATTAATAAGGCTTCCATTATTTTTAGCCTATTTTTATATGTAGACAATGTTATTATATTTGTATTATCAACAAGCATGTTACGAATAATGTCCAGTAGGTCTCCATGAATATTTAAATGAGATCTAATTGAGCTATGGTCAGAAAGGTGTAGAGTGAGACTGCATGTCAAACATATTGTAGTATGGCCTATATAATTATTTACGAATTTTGACTGATCAGGAATACAATTCCTTAATGGACATTTAAATTTGTAAATAATATTTGTCCTATTTAAATTTGATTTAAGAGGTGAATTATTATTTTTAACTATATAACTTATTGATGCATTCTTCTCCCTGTATTTATGTCAATTGGATGGTGACAATCATGTCAAACAAACCATGTTTTAGTATAATTAAGTCTTGGCAAATTTGATTCTTACCAGTTCACTACAGAAGAATTGAGAAAGCTGAATTTTAGTAATTTAAGATCAAAATCTCCTGCTGACAACAAATAAATTTTTTTTTGATTTTTTTATTTTAGTTTAACATGCACCTAAAACACGCACATACGTACACACACACACACACACACACACACACACTTGATGACGACTGAGATTGTCAAAAGTGGCTGAACCAAAAACAGAACAAAACATGAACTTCAGACAATTTATCTCCAATTTTTTTATCCTGATGTACAACACCATATTTCTCAAAATTGGAAAAATACAATGAAACACTTAAGCAGATACACCTTATCACTTGAATTTAACAAAACCTTTAACAAAACTTTCTGAAGTAATTTTTGCTGCCTAAATATGCCATATATATATATATATATATATATATATATCATTTCACCCCAAGCAATGCAACAAAGCCACTAAGTGGATTAAAGTAAAAAAATCAATGGTGCAGCCATTGAATCCATGACTGCCTGTCTACTAGGGCAGCTAGCTAATCCCCATTGTAAATGGCTGTTAAGGTCCATTTGTGCTTGTTAAGAGCCTACCTTTTTTTGTACTGCAACTATACTGAGGAGACCTTTGTTACAGTTTCTGAAAGAGAGTGCATTATCTAGCATTATCAACAGTCTGAATAAGGCCATCATGCTCAAACCCTCAGTCACGATGAATTGTGACTTTGTGCTTGCACAGCCATCGACAGCCCCTAAGGATTCCATCTACCCAATTTCATTCACAAGGTATTATCACATGTGATCAACGGTCTGTACAAGGCCAGCATGCTCAAACCCTCAATCATGATGACTTGTGAATTTGTGCTAGCACAACCACCGATGGCTTCCCAAGGAGTTCTATTTATCCAATTTAATTTACAAGGCTTCGGTCAACCCATGGTATTGAAAAGGACCTCCAATATGTGGTTGACTGGGGCAAGAAATAGCTGGTAAACATTAATGCCTCAAAAACAAAACTGCTCTCTTTTAACCACCACAAAGAACCCTCCCTGCATCCCATTAGAATGTCTCATACTCAGCTCCACGAGAGCACCTCTTTTTGACTGCTTGGTCTCATGCTGTCCGCTGACCTGAGATGGAACAAATACATTGAATCAATAGCTTCATCTACCACAAACAAAGTTGGTTCTAAGTGTCACACCAGAAAGTTTTTCTCACCCGTGTCCATCCTTCAAATCTATAAATCAACCATTCGACCTTGCATGGAATATTGCTGTTATATATAGTCTGGAGCCCCTGCTGTTCATCACAAGGTCCTCAACAAAATCCAGAGACAGATATGCAATGTGATTGGTCCTGATCTGGCATCTCGTTTACAGTCGTTCTCTCACAAGCATGTCATCGCTTCCCTTTGTCTTTTCTACAAATTCTTTCATGGTAACTGCTTCGACAAGCTACTTTCGCTTATCCCCAAAATATATGAATTTAAACGTGCTACTAGGTAGGCATCTGAGTCCCACCTTTTCACTGTCAAAACTGTTAAATGTAGCCGTCTCTTCTACTCCAATAGCTTCATGTCTCGCACTTCTCATCTGTGGAACTCTCTTACTTGCTTCCCTGATAACTATAATCTTCAATTATTCAAATGCAATGTCAATCAACATTTTCAGATGCCGTGATCTAATTCCCCATCCTTCTCTTCATCCTTTCCTCTATCACGCCTATTTACTCTTGCTCTCACTCTCTGTAACCCCTTGAATGCTAATGACACTCCTGCTTTGCTTGGGGTGAAATGTTTAAAAAAAAATACCAATTTTCCTTCTGATTTTTACATGTTTTTTTTTCTCCTAGGTTTTATAATTTGTTCCTGTTTTATCTCAGCATAGATTTTATAAGCAAGTGAAATGCTCACCTGTTTACTATAATGAACAGAAAAAAAAATCTGTATAAAGC